GTGTTATTCTACCCTTGTCTGTGAAAGGATGACTAGGTACGTGCACTGAGAACTCTTAGTGCAGTGTCTCAAGGCTCGTCTCAAGGCACTCTTAGTTTATAGGAAAGAAAGCTTTTTTTCTAGACCAGCATTCTGTCATGAGCACAAATGCCTGATGTGAGTTGAATAGACTTTGCTGCCTAGGGAAAATTTGAAACTCCAATGCATTTGATTTTGTACCTAAAATGCAGTGGCAGTGTAAATGTTCAAATCACCACAGGTTCATGGATGCGAATCCAGTCACCCTGTTGTTTCAGTGAGTTGCTTATGGCTATTTTCAATCAAGTATTTTAGAGGTGTTAAACTTATTAACTCGTTTACCTGGTCAAGTGAAACCAAGTCCAAAGACTTAAAGGAATCAGACAAACAGTAACAGATATGTTAGCATACAGCTTTGCAGGCTGTTTCTCATATCCCTTTTATTTACTTATCTGACTTGACATTTTTATAGTGTGACACTTATTACATTAAACACATGTCATCAAGGCTTCTTAGGTGGCTTATTCTAATTTTTTTCCAATTATTTTTTTCAGGGTACATTCTACTTCAAAGTTCAAACTTCAAATTAATACATTTCCATTTCAGTCAGCCCCTTTGAATGTTTTTATAGTTGTATTCTTTTTAATTTTGTCATGCTTATCATAGTTTTTCTATCTGGAGAGGCAGAGATTAGATTGTTCTCATTAGTATTTTTAGTGTATTATCCGTTGAGTGAAATCTCTACATCTGTAAGTTCATATCTGCACATTTTTAATTTTTCTTTTTTTTTTTCCCAGCTTCAATATGGTGTATATAATTGTAACTAATTCTTCTGGGTCTAGTGTTAAATACTAGTTTCTGTAGGTCAAAGGATAAATTCTTTCCGTATTTTAATATTTAGATTTGCAAAGCCTCAGAACTGGATTATAGATATAGAATATACATATATATTTATATATATATATATATAAAATTCTATAACATACATGGGTAGATACAGAATTCTAGAAAGTGGAATTTTATTCTGATAATGTAGAATAACAGAATAAAAATTAGATATTCATATTTTTAATAAGCAGCTCACCCTACTGTCTTAATTTTTTTAAATAATTTTAAAATGATTTTAACTTTTTACTAAACAGAACTATTTGAGTGATTCAAATTGAAAGCTCTACATCTACTCTGTCTTATGAAATATAGAGATGACAGATAGTGACCTCCTTTGTTGGCTGCTGGTTTTCCAGAGCAAAAAACTTACGTGACAAAGATGCTTAACATTAATTTTATTTCTATTGTACCACATGCTATGATGAAAATGCAATAATAGTTGTTGATGGATGTTTATTTATGTTAAGTGTACAGGTTGCTTGTTGCACCATTAGTGCAAATCTTCATTTTAATTGTCAGGCTTAAGTGCTCCACTATAGGAAAAAATAGATTGTCCATAGTGTGCCATTTTTTTCTCACATCAGTTTATGAGTAAGCTAATTTTCAGTGAATACTGGTGAGAAGTCAATTAAATTATCTTATGACTACTTTTCCGAATGATTTATACTTTTAATTAAACTATGATTGTGTTTTGTCAAATTTCTTCTGAAGCAATATGTACCACCTTACCTAGTAAATATCAATCTCTTAGATACAAATCTGTAATTTTAAATGCAGTGACCTTTAACTGTAGTGTCTTTGTTCTTTGTAGGTTTAGGAAAATAAGGGCAAATGTTTAATTATGTTTAATTTAAGAAACTTGGGCAAAAAATGACAACTTGCTAATGCAGTGTTCTCTTTAGATTCTGGAAGCTTAGATGTACTGAAATTAAATGGAAGACAAGTATATTAACATGTTAGAAGGTTCCTGCTGAATTCAGAGGGAAAAATTCTTGTTGCTAAAAACATTATCTTTCATATAGACAAACAGTAAGAAGAATAAAGTTTAAAGTTTGTTATTAATTATTAATACTAGAAGGATTAGGCTTTTCTCTGCTTGTAAGACCAGTGAAGCATTGAAACCTAGTGATTTGAAATTTCTGTTCATGCAAGTATTAAGAACAGGTTAGACAAAAGGGGTCTGAATACAGTTGAACTTTCTTCAGTGAGTGGATTGAATCAATTATATTTATGATGTTCCTGCTAATTAATTTTATGATGTTCCTGCCAGTTGAAGATTTTTACAGTATTTTTGGTCAGTATTTACAGAAGGCTCCATCCAATGTGCTTAATTCTGTATGTGAATCATCTAGCTGAAATCCATGGGCTATAGCAGCAGAAATATTTACAGTGTTGAGACTGAAGTTTGACCCATCTGCTTTCCTTGCTGTACATCACTGTATGCCCAGGAAGAAACAGAAAGCTAGAATTGGATGCCCTGTTTTGCCAAACTAAACTTTGCAAGTAGTTGATTTATTGAAAGGAATTTTATATGCAAGGATTGGAAAGAATTAATTCCAGGGCAGAATATCCCAGAAATTTAGTTAAATTTCATAGCTCTGGTCATTTAGTTTCAACAGTACAGAATCCTTCATAGTGATTAGAATTTATAATTTGCAACAGAATTATATGAACTATGTAAAGTTTGTTATGGCTTTTGGCTACACCAAAAGGGAGAAACTTCTACCATTTTAGACCACTAGGAAATGAATGAGTTTGATAGCTTCTCTCCAGCTGGAGCAGGGAAAGTTTTCTAACATGAGGTTGATTCATAGCAAGAGCTGAAAACAGAAGACTGAATCTCTTCTTGAACTTAATAGCTGTATTTCTGAAGACTAGCTGGTTTTATAGCAAAAAAATCGCTGTTTGCAGGACAATAAACTGTGTCAATAAACTTTGTGTAGAGGTATGGTAAGCTGTAATTTAACCTGATATTTGGAGATCCTTACATTTGTAGCTTCTATCGTACTCTGCTCCATTAGTAGCAGATACCGAAGGATGTGATTCTTCTAAGTTTGTTTTTACATTGTTATGTTCATATTGAGAGTGACGAGATTGTAGAACTAAGACCAGCTTTGTGTTCTGTCTGAATGTGGAGGACCTTTCTGTCATAACTAGATGGAAAATTACTGGTGTATATTTTTTAATAAGAATAAGGACTACTTTTCATCTTTTGCTAAATCAGTGTTTGTCTAGATAGATTGTTCTATTTCCACAACAGTGGGGAAGTATACATACGTAATATGTATAATTTGTGTTGTGATACATACATGTACATTATAGTACATACTGAGTATGCCATAAGTCCAGTTAATAATTGTACAGTACCTTTTTGAATGGTACACTTTGGAAGTCTGCAAGTTCAGTTTCTAAATTTTTGGCCTTGTCATCTGCTTGCCTTAAACAACTTACTGGGTTTCTGGCTTTGTCAGCGGTGCTTTAATCTATCTTGACTCAATAACCTCTTTCATAGGTGATAACATTTGCATGCACTGTGCAGCAGTTTGTAAGTATACCTGTACATCCAAGAAAATATTCACATCTTTAATATACAATTAATGAAACATTCTACTAGCCTTGTTAAATAGCACATAGTGGCCAAAAGTGGTATGAGTCATGACTGAAAGTTATGTCCCTGTGAGAAGGTTGGAAGTGTTTAGACAGCAAAATAATATGTATTTCACTATGTAAGAGGAGGTTTTATATCTGGAATGTGCAATTTTAAAATTTTTTTTACCTATCAAAGTCAAAAGATGCTGACAGGTTATTCTGCTAATCTGAGAAATTTCAAGGGGCCAGAAAATGGTGTCTTCTGTCAATTAAGCTGATTTTGTTTTGATCTAAATTTCTGTGGCAATTTACTAAATTAAAAGATTAATGTTTCAAAAAGCTATTAGTGTATAAAAACAAAGATACCAAAAGTAATTGTTCTGCAACTGGAAACATTAAAAACCTTATACAGTAAGTGAAATTTAGTTTTCTTGTTTTTTTGGTGTTCTGTGAATTGCTGCCCTCCATAATTAGGTTATGTATTTGAGAACTGTACTAAAACTATAGTGATCATGTGCAATTAAGGGTAATTAAGAAAAATTACTTGAAAAATGCATACCTATTCAGAAACATGGGAAAAATCCTTTTGTAATGGAACACAGATAATAAAATATTACAGTGTTACAAAATCATACTTTTATCATCTCAAGGTATCATCTCTTATGTGAGTGTTGCATTAAAATAAATTACCCGGTCAACTATGTCTTTCTGAACTCTCTGGAACCAAGCTATGAAGTAGTGGGCCTAATCTACATCCTTTAAACTGGCTAGGTGGTCACCCTATAATTCAGGTCACATTGTTATGTTCAGTGCAACTGTGAAGGTGAGTAAGGTAAAGGCAATTCACAAGCACCACAAGTTATGAAAAATACCCTGATTTATTCAGCAGAGATGTCTTTTACTAGAAAAGCAGCAGAAGGTGACTGAATAAATCACTCGTATCAATGCATCCCTTATATCATCCATCTTCTTTTGGTTTGGTTGATTATGCATTCAAATCAGTGAAACTTGTGTGATTTAGGTCCTGTGCGCTGCGTTGAATAATTCACCTCAACATATCTGTGTGTTTATGATTCTTCAGTTATTCATCAGTTATTGAACAGTTTAGACATTTTGAAATTGCCCCGTATCTCATTATTTCATCCTCTTTTTTTTCTTGGGTTTTTTTTTTGTTTGTTGGTTTTTTGGTGGTTTTGGTTTTTTTCCCCAAAATACATTGAAAACTCAGGTTTGCTTTGAAAGCTCAAATAAAATTATATGAATGAAATAACAAACTGCTTATTTAAAAGAACCGATTGGATTTCAGACTTGTTACTGTAATTTGTGATTACTCCTCCCCCTTCTTCTCTTTCTCATCTTTTGTCCTCCTTTACAAGCATCTTCTTCCCCATCCCTGCGTAATACTGGTGCTATGTACAGTATTTTGTTTACAGTAGTATAAACATTTTCAGCCTGTGACTTCATTGCTGAAATAACTCACCTCTTTCATATCAACTCTTACCTAGGAGCCGTACAGCAGACTCATTGATGTAGGTTTTTTTCTGCATGGCAGCCCAGGCCAAGCTGTGGTTTCATTGCATGATGCAACTTCACCCTTTTTGGTTGTCTATGGGATTAATTATAATCTATTCTTGTATTGCCTGTGCATGCCAATGTGCTTACCATAATGGTGTATACACTGAATGCAGTCTAGAGCATTAAGTGCATGAAATGCAATTTTAAAAAATAACATAAAATTAGAAATTTCGAGCAAATGTAAATTATGCTTAGCAATAACTTAAGTTAAGCTTTTATAGAATGAATAGGACATAATATGTATCAGGTCTATTTATTTAAAATTTCCAGATATTACAGTAGTTTATTGACTAGATGCACAATTTCAGTGTGGTCAAGATGAGGGGAAGAAAGAGTGTACTAACTATCCTGTTGTGACAATGGCTGAATGGTGCCAGTAGTATCAGAAAGATAAACCTTTCCCTGCTGTCAACTTCAGCAGCAGGTGACAGTGAAAAGAGGTAAGACTACAAATAGTCATTTATTAAAATTCAGAATTTGGGAATAATTTTAAGTACAACGGAGGGGTTTGTTTGTTTGTTTGTTTTTAATGATGTTAAATAGCCTGCAAAATAATTTAAAATGTATTGGTTTACAAAACACAATGAAATTCCATATGAAGAATTGTAACACTGCTTGAAATTTCTTTTACAAATGACATTGTGACCATCCTAAGCAATCTGTTATTCATACATTCTTAAATGTATTCAAATGAACCTTTCATCAGCACAGTATAAGATATAATTTAATGCTAATCTGTCTTTTTCCTTATAAAATGGTGAAACATCACTTTGGGAAGTGACTTGAAATGTGTCTGAACACAATTTTGTTGTGCTGTTGATCAGTGCAAATGTTCATGTGTATGTGTTCAGACATTACGCTTTGTGAGCTTTTTGGTGTTGAAATTTATTTACAGATTTCAAAGTAATATTCAGGTTGGTGAATAAGTATTATTTATCTCAGACATTTAACTTTGAGGGCCTGTAATATAAAATGTTATGATGTTTGAAAAATGGTGATAGAAAACAGATATATATATTAAGTGAAAATATGCTTAGTGTGTACTTTTAAGCAGGTAACTGAAAACGTGCAATATGTATTCAAAGCAGTAAAAAAGGGAAGCAGATTCCACAGATCTTGTCATGCCACCCACATGATGATACTGTGCTGCCCTAAGAATATATATTACTTAGGATTTTATTTTTTTTATATTATTCCTGTAGTCCACTTAATGACAGTTGCACTGGTTTGGGGTTTTTAATTACTATGAAGGAAAATTCTTTTAGTACTGTAAAACCTATCAGACATATCTATACAGCAACATGGATTTATTCTTCCTGATATCAGTACAAAACAGATTATTATACCAGTCCTGTTGACTTCCCAGTAGCTCGGTGTGTAAGCTTAACTACGTGCCCGTTCTCCCATGCACAGCAGACAAGATAAAAAGGTGATGGATCACAAACACAGAATTACACAGAACATGCTGAGTTGGAAGGGACACAAGGATCACTGAGTCTCGCTCTTAGCCCTGCACAGGACCATCCCCAAGAATCACACCATGAGCCTGAGAGTATCATCCAAACGCTTCTTGAACTCTGTCAGGCTTGGTGCTGTGACCACTTCCCTGGGCAGCCTGTTCCAGTGCCCAAACACCCTCTGGGTAAAGAACCTTTTTCTCATCTCCAGCCTACAGTGCACGCCATTTTGAGATGGTGTTAGAAAAAAAGGGCCACTATATATTCATTTTTAACATTATTATAATCCTCTTCTTACACTGCTGTAAAGTACTTTTATATCAGGCTTGTGATAATTGATTTGAGCAACTGCTGCAGCTGTAGGCCATTCCTTACTCCATTTGTTAATGGAGATAAAGTTACTGCTAAAAAAGAAAGGCATAGTGTCATTAATCTGTCTAAAAAGGGCCTTGCTTTTCCCATTTAGACAAACCACTGAGTAAGACTGTCACTAGGCTCCAAGCTAATTTTCTTGTCTGAAAAGCTCAAGTATTTTCTTAATTTCTTCTTTGTTTATTTAAACTTTTTCTGTTCTTTTGCAAAGTAAATGTGACTATTCAGTGAGTCTTTCATAGAATCATCACTTTGCCTCAAGAATATGGTAATTTGCACTTAAGACAGTGGTGGTAAATAACCAGGTCCCACAGCTGGAACAGCTGTGATAGGAACATTTCTAAGAAGGAAAATTTACTAGATTGCAGTTATATGCATGTGCAAATTAAGCCACAGCAGAGGAGCTTGTGGGTAGAGAAACTGTGTACATGTGTTTCACTTTAAAAAGGTATGTGGAATAAAGACTCTTTAGGAGTCTAGGTTAAAAAAAAGGGAAACTGGGAGAAGGAATTCTCATAGATGTTAAAGTCTGCTGGGAATGAATGTGACCTGGATTATCCCTATAGTTGGTTTGAGGCAGAGGAATTTAAACAGATATACTGTGATGCTCAGGATATAGTCAAAGATCTTAAATGGTTACTCTGGATAGTTGAAAGGTTTTTTACTTGCCTGTCCATTAGTCCCAGTAAAGTGTAGCATGTATACAAATACAGACTTCCTTGGGATAGTTTACAAGTATATACTAGGTGTCTCACAGTTTGGGTTGGGAGTAGTTGGGTTGCTTGACCTTTGGCACCCTAAATGTATCTTAGGTTTTAGCTGACTAAGGTGCTTAAAGGGACCCTTATGCTGATGGGTAGATGATGAGAGGGAGAATCTGAAATTATGAAAACTTGTTTGGGACTAATATATCTTCTAGTTTTATGTAGATTTTTTGAAGGAATGTACATGGTTCATGTTATGCCTTCATTTGAAATAGGAAACAATATATCCTGCCTGGTGTAATTGTATATTAATACTGCTATTAATACAATATGAATAGTTTTTTAGTAATAGATTTGGATCATGCCACTAAAAAGCCTGACCAAAGAAGCTGATCCAGTAATGTAATGTCAGGTTTCTGCCACTTTGCAATACTTCTGGCTTCCATTGCTCATTTACATTATTCACTGTTGTTTAAGTCAAATAATATACCTTATGTTCAAGTTTATTACTACTCAGTAAAAACTAGATAGTTGCCAGATATTTTTCATCAAAATATCGCAGAAGGGAATTCTGGAAAAGATGGTCAGATGAATAAACTGGAAATATTTTAACATTCCAGTTTATCTGGTACTCTTGTAATTTTCAGTTAGAGTAGTTGAACTTAGACTAAATCTCATAAGACAACATTTTAGTCATTGTATGTATTATTTCAAAGTGTTCAGTCAGATGAAGGAGAATTTTAAAAGCTGGACAATAGTATCAACAGAATAGAAGGATAATAAAAGACACTGAGATGGAGGAGTAGTTGGAGCTGGAAATGGATGATGATGGTGGGCTGGTGAAAACTGAGTTTGAGGAAAGTGGATAGCAAATTGGAAAGCACTATTGGATAACTTTAAGAGATGGCAGTTGCAAAACAGAATCATCAAATAGAGCAAGAAGGAATCTCAGGAATTCACTCTTCCTTCCACTGCAAGGTAAGACTGGCTCTACAGAAATTTATTCAAACAGAGACTTATTTAGGAGTTCAATGGTTTGTAGGCCCTCTCCTATAGAAGAAGGAAATTTTAGAAATATCACATATTTAGACCATTCTATTGACATATGCAAATGCAAGGACTTTAAGTGGTCCATATACACCAGGCTGAAAAGTATTTACTGTTTTAAAAATCTGATATTTGCTGTTCTCCCCAGAGAATCTATTCTAGTGTTTAGCTACATGTTTTAACTGGAAAAGTTTTATGCTTCTGATATACTACTTAGTAACTTTATCCATTTCCATTTGTTCACTTCAGTGTCAACATGGAAAAGGGATTAGTCTTCTTTTTGCATGATCATGTGACTTGTTTGCATTTTCATGTCACCCTTTGTTTTCTCTTTTCTGGGGTAAACAGCTACAACACCTTATTACTCTTTGATAAACTTTGATACAAAATATTAAATAACAATTAGACAAGAAGTAACAGAAAGGGGTCATTACAGTAGAGACATGCAAGATTGTCAACTTCAGTAAACAGAGTATAGTTCAACCAAATCTTTCCATAATGCAATCAGCATACTAGATATAACTTATTAAAATTTGTCAAAAAAATGTATTGTTAGTTGAAACAGTATGCTCATGTTTTTCTCTTTAGAATGTTAGTAGTCTCACACAAAATCCTTTGTTTAGAAGTGTGGTCCCTGGCATTGTTGCTCTATCATTTTCCTAGAATTGATTTGCCATCAGGGAGATTGTTTTGTCAAGGTAATTTAATGCTATTTGCAGTTGCCAGAGTTCTTAGCTTATGGTAAACAATTAAGAAATCTAACACAAAAAAATAATATGCTCTTCCTACTTATCTATGTGGTTCTCAGCAAACCTTTTCAAATGCAGTTATCTTAAATATGATGAAGATCTTAGTGGTGTATTTTGCAAGAAAGCACATGCTCTGTCTTCTGTACCCTACTGAAAGAAGTTATGGAGATGGACTCTGGGCTGTTCACTGATGCCTGTTTTAGCACTCAGTTCGTGAGTATTTAGCTGTTCTGCAGGGATCTTCCTTTGACTTTTGGTTGTAAGAGATGTATGCTGCAGGCAGTAGTGAATGTACACACACCCTGATGAAATTAAGTGATATTCGGTTTCCAGAGTGAGCAATTTTAATGTGCATTTTTTCTGTATATCCCAACAGTTCAATATAAAAATATAAGTAAAAGTTTCTTGTTATCATGCTTGTATATAATTTTGTGTTTGGACTGAGGAAGATAAGAATTTGATTTTACTTGAGTGCTGCGGTACGTTAGCTTATGTTTTGCTAGGGAGTCTGTGAAGAAGCATGATATACTTAAAATTCACGGAAAACTTGAGAAAGAAAGATGAAAACTGACAGCATTATACTGAATTTTACCAAGCTGTATTAGTTCATTTAGGTAAAATAACT